ATAAATAATTGAGTCATGACGCAATTATTTTTGAGGATTTTGGGAATTGAGTTAACAGCAAAATAATTTATACCACATATATAATTCTTGTATCTCATACTTGTTAAAAAAAATAATAATAATTAAAAAATAAATATAACAATATATATATAAATAATTGAATCAAAACTCTTAATAATAAAATAATAATCTTATACAGATATTATTTAATAAATAGTTTAATATGATAATTTATAATTAATACAATATAATAATATTAATTACAATATTAATGAATTATTTGTTAAATTAAATAATAAACTTATATTCATATTATTAAATATAATTAATATAATTACAATTATTATTATAATATGATTGTGATAATAAAAAAACTTTTTTAAAAATTAATTTAAATTGTGTATATATGATATATTTGAAGAAATAATTTAAAATATGCAAACTATTTTTGGTTTAAAAATTATAATTAAAATATTAATATAAGTTAAATATATATTATGATATGATAAATAAAATATAACAAATAAAATATTTTTAAAAAGATAATTAATTTATGTATTATTATATCAAGATTGAAAAATTTTTTTTTGATAAATAGCTTTAATAAATTTAAATTTAAGCTTAACAAAATTCACAACAACAGATTTTTACAATATGAATCAATTTTTCTTTTTTGAAATTATAAAGATCAAAATTAATTTTGAGTTATTGTTTTAAAATAATCTTAAACTAATTAAATCTGTGTTTCTTATATCTCTATTTTAACAATAACATGAAAAAAAATACTGTATTATTGGATAATATTAAATCTAATATAAATTGATTGATTAGAAATGTCTTAATCAATAGATTTAAAAGCATATACAATATTTTTAATGTAATTTCTTTGATTGCTTGTAAAAATTTATGATCAGCTTTTCTACTCTCGAGGTGATGATCAGTTATGGATGCTTGTTAACTTGATCCTTCCCGACCATTCGTTGAACCCTTGTCTTTGCTAAATCCTAATGTTCTAACCAAGCTCTGATTCTTCTGTTAATCACAATATCAACTTTATTTTTAGAAGTTTAAAGATAACATGCCATTATGCGGTCTCCGTCTGATCATTTTCACTATTCTATTTATGCTACTAACGTGTGTTTACCCTTTTCGCCTTGCGATTATTACGTAATCTACTAGATTTTTCCATCACTCAATCCTTCCTCGGCGCCGTGATTACGTGATACGAGACCGCGTTTCGTATCCACGGATAACTTGTTTTTCTTGACAGATGCAGTTGTGCAAGTTCATTTCTGCTGATGTTTTAGGACCACTCAAACAGGCAAGATTAGTGTCAATTATTCTTTGTTTTCGTACTCAGTTCATTTCCATATTCAAAAAAAAAAAAAGTCGATTTTTTGTTAATCGTGTTCATACAATTTCTAAAAAAGGAAACAATGAAATTTCAAAGACTTATTTTAATTTGCGATAAATCGGCAAGAGGTTAATCTGCATGTGAAGGGCTTGCCTGCCCAACTCATTTTACCATTCGGTGTAACTTGTATCCCATTGCAGTTATTCCCCCAAAACTTTGGACAAGATTTTAGAGCGTATGCACATATAAAAATAACATTATGCCTTCGCGTCTCATTTTCGATTTTTTTAACGGAAGGATTTTGTTTTCACCATGAATTATTATTTATTCTGCATTCATAGGTAGGCGGGAAGGAACGTAATAAATTTTGAGTCACTCCTTGAACTGTTACATACTATGCATCATTTGCCTCATCTAGGGCGATTATTTTCGTTCTTGTTGGTCTAGGGATCGTAAGTTATCATTTTCAAAAAACTACTGACAACTTTTCGGAAACTCATATTTTCTTGCTGACATCACAGATCTTCAACATTGCTTTCCCTCTCTTCGGTTTCTTTTATATCGGCATAACAAATGCCATTTCATGTTTTATTATGAGCATTATCATGTCCTTAATATTCGTCGGCTTGATTACTAATAATTACAAGTTACAAGGTTGGCAACATTTCCACCAATCTTCTTTTTTTATTTGGAAATAACACGTACAATTAATTCTGTAGAAACACTCCCTTATGTCGGATGGTTCGTGATCTTTGTAACAATAATAGTCAATTCTTTTACCGATGTCGACGCGATCTATGATGAGGTCCAGAAATACTGTGAGTTAAAGGTTGGTGAAAATGGGACGGAGCTAGAAGTCTTAGAGTGTATTGTAGATGTATTGAATAGCATGATATTGGCATTGCAAATTTTGAGATATGTTCGTTGGACGGAGGTTTGTAAAAAGAATTCTCATAGTTATTGATGTGTATGTTGGATATTTGTTTGACAAACACCTTTCCTTCCGTGTAGATAATCATTTTTATCGTAGTTTTAAATTACGAAAACTTGCGAATAGAAACCCTCCTCGGTGATAACCACCAAACAACTCCATCTTACGGTGCAGTTTCGGACACACAAGATCCGGATACTCGTGACGACGTGACACGAGGCCAAGCGGTTTGATCGAGGATCGGCGATATGTGACGGGTAAAAATTTAAACATGTAGATTAATTTAGCTGAGAAGTGTTGCATAGTTGAGAATGTGAATATAATGAAAAATTGATTTTCTACAAATAAAATCATAAAACATCAAAATGGAGGGTAAATTTGAGAATTTGAGAATCCGCGGCTTAAAATATCATTGTTTGAGGAAGTTGGACGATTTAACACGTACATTCTTTTTTGCAGCTTCGACGGAGGTCATTCCGATTAACTATTCAATATACAAATTAGTGTATGAAAAAGTTTTCAAATTCACGAACTTGAGGTATAGACAAGAAAGAGTAATTCACGTGCATCTTGAATTGGAAGTAATTTTTACCAAAATATTATTAAGATCCACTATATTACTGTGTTAGACTTGGCTTTTAAGAATTTTTCAAATTTCCCTTTAGAATTCAGAACCTTTACCCGTAATTAACAACTTCATCTTATTCCACGTAAAAAAAGCAAGATATCAAGAGAAGCTTTAGGTAGCTCCTTTATATCGATAAGCTACATCTATACAAGACAAAACATATGAGCTCGACATATTACTAAAACTAGCAGAAGGAAAAATTGTTAATAATACTAGTTTATTATTAATTATTGTTAATTAAAATTAATTAATAAATAATCATGTGTGTTACACGTGTGGATGGACAGAATCCACACGTGACCTATATTTTCACCAAGAATTCAAAACAAATAAATAACGATTCCATTAAAATGACGTAATTTTAACCACGCGTATTGTTTCAGATTATAACGCGTTCCTTCTATATTTAGATCTATGTGATCAATAGATATATAAATGCTTTGGTCCGTAAAAAATTTTTTTCACTCTTTTCCTTAAATACTTCGCAACCTTCCTTAAATACTTTGTAACCTTGATTTTCTAATAACACGCGACGGATATATGATCCTTAAATACTTTACAACCCTTGAATACTTTACAACCCTTGAATACTTTACAACCCTTGAATACTTTACAACCCTAACTTTCTTATAATACGCGACAAGTATATGACAATATCTTTTAATAGCACAACAACATGTAGTGAGTTGACGAAATCTACAAGAGCACGAGAAAAACAAGCAAGTGTAAGTTTAATGATTTGGTTTTCAAGTTAATAGGTAATAAAAGAGAGGTCGAAGCAAGATTTTGACTAGCTATTTTTTGTTGCAACTGGGAATCTGAGACTCCCATTTCCGTGTCGTGTAACTGTATTCGAGGGAACAACGGTAGTAAGCTATCTTCCTATCACCCACGGT